ATGGTCCGGTTGTTTTCCAAGTATTATGTGAAAGCTGCTTCGTTAGAAGAACATAACCAGAGTTTCTTTTAGCATGACTTCCGCAGWCTACTTAAAYGTACCTTCGTGACAGTCACGCAATCACTTGTGACGACAGACCTCACTCCATCATGTGACCACAGGGAACCCGAAACTATACACCCAACAGTCATGTKCACCCTTAATTTTGCTTTACAAAAAATCCAGGCGTAATATATWTKTTTTTCAGAATTGTTCATTAAGAATAAGAACCTGGTTCAAAGKTAAGGTTCAAGCCTTGGGGATTATCAAATTAATTCTTGACTGACATTTGCATATTGTGGTATGCCCAGAGTATTGTTCTGTGTTAATATTGGTAAATATTTACTGATCCTCATACTGTTTGCTTTTTGCTGTAAATCAACACTGCTTACAGCAAAACACTGCAGTATTGCCATCAAGAATGAAATGTCTTCAAAAATCCTTTTCATTTGACTACAATTAGCTTTAATACTACTAATTTGTACTTCACTCAAATAATTTTGCAACAAAAGAAACGAAATCCAATGTGATCCAGAGTTGTAAACTGGTATTTGATAGAATATTTGACTGAATTCAAACAAAAGTACACGTGACTCTTTGTCAGGGGCTTTAGCCAGACTGCAATGCAGTAGTTTGACAGAAGACTGGTTCTATTACATGTGCAAATAAACAACACAAGCTAAGGGTATTGATAAGAAGGTTTTAATTGAGTCTTTCAATTGACTTCATTTTACTGTTGACTCCCAAGAACCTGAAAATAAATAAAAATAAATCATCAATACAAATTCATATTTAAGAAATATAAAACGGTGTGCTTGTCTCTGTCCTCTGATATAAACATGGTGGGAGTTCGAAAAACACGAGAGAAGCAAGCTTTTCAACTCCCACCGTGTTGATATCAGAGGACAGAGACAAGCGCACCGTTTTATATTTCTTTTATAAAATTTTTCGAGCAAAAAGAACATTTTGCCGGTAAGCAGTGTCTCTGTCCTCTGATATAAACACGGTCGTCAGCCAATCAGAGCGTGCGTTATATATCAAAAATTTTATAAAATGAAATAAAGATTAAATGAAGATGAATTATTTCAAATATCATTGTCCCTGATCTCTAATCTGATCTTAAAAAACTCATACATAATTAATGAGCTACTAGGCCAATAGAATGAGCCTATTTGGTCACATGCATGGACCTTTATATCTGATAAAACACTCCTTATTAGTATTCTTTATATAAAGAATACTAATAAGGGTGACCTTTATCAGATATAAAGGTCCATGACCCTAGCAAAGGTCTCAGGTTTGAAACCTGATCATTGACCAATGCAGGATGTCAACCGATTTCAGTGAACAGCCAAGAGCG